CATATCTTGCATGAGGCGATTAAAATCTTTAAATTTGTATGCTCTGGCCATTGCAAAAAATACTTCCTTCAGGTCATGGTTCTTCTTGAACTTCTTCTTTATGTTATTTCAAAGATGGAAGATGCATACACAATGAGATACCTCTGGATACACAATCGAAGCACCCCTCAATATGCTTGCATGACGATAAGATACGATGTACATCTTTTCCTTTTCCCCAAAAGCGTGTCTAAACATTTCAAAAAACCATTCCCAAAAAGCATCATTTTCAGAATCGACAACAGCATATGCTAGTGGAAAACTTTTACCTGGTTAAGCAAATAAGAAAGCATCCACATGTTATTTTTTTATACACGGATAACAACTACCTATACCATATATAATTATTATACGAGACTGCGACATATTCACCTATCGCATCTTGTGCGCTAGCTGTTAACATTGTCCCCATGTGTGATGATTAAAGGAATGTCCCGTTAACCACTACAATAGGGTAGCAGTATTTCCATCCTATGATTGATGCATTTAGTGCGACAAAAACATATATGAAGCGCCCGTCCTCTGATTTATGTAACATTATGACAGAACTAGGATTTGTCATATTTATCATATACAAATGACCCGGCAGTTTACTATAAGATTCATGTGGTATCCCTCTTAGCAGTTCAAGCGCTTTTTCTTTTGTTCTATAAGCTTTTACGTAACTCATATTAATCCCATATTGTTGTTTCATGTCGCTCATGATGTCTGCCGGAGTGTATATTGTTTTTGGATTGGCATATTTTTTGCAAATCATTTTTGAAATGGCTGACGAAGTAGCATGACGTTGTGAAAACAGTCTACTCGTCTCTGGGGAAGTATGAACATCATTGAACCGTCTAACCTTGAAGACATTTGATTTGTGTAGACTTGAAGATCTAAGACTCCATTTGCAACTTTCATCCATGCATGTAAGACAATACCTATTTAAAATATAGTGTTATGATAATGAACTTCTTCAGATTAATTCAGTGTACTTCTTCTACGTTCTAAAATTGTAAACCAGCTGAAGTTGTTACAAGTAAGTTACCACCCAAGTATGAACTTGAATATGAGCATTCAACACTTGAACACACAGTTTTCAACGTTATGCATAATGGATATTCAGTGATATCCAAGTTTTTCTTTTTCATCTCCATATACAAGCGCACACTCATATCATTGTATATTGGAATTGCTATATAGCCATCCTTCACTGTATATTTTATCTCCACCGCACTTGTAATTGAATCTCTACCCAATTGCTTGTATATCTCATCAACAAAATACTCATAGCTACAGTCTGAATTGATCAGTACGCCATTAACACGAAAATTAACAAATTTATTCTCACTTACCTACTCACCACTGTGTTGAAGTAAAATCGGAATCAAAATTGGAACAGTAGTTCAACCATTAACAATGTCCATAGACATTAGTTGAGTTTATCGATTTGTATCAATTTCACAATTTAAGAACGAAATTTCAACTCTATTAAGCTAATTGTAGGCCGCAATTGTGCAAAAACTTTGAATTTCAGCGTGAATTTTTTGGAGCTCTGCTCTGGGTTTACTCTTCAGAAACCCTAGAATTGTTTTGACAATGTGAATAATTGGGCGACTTTTATACTGCTTGGGGGTTGAAGATTCCATACTGAAGGCGTGAATTTAGGATACAAAATCGATTAGGAGTGATTTCCTTTTGGTTTGCGTTGAGCGTATGGTTTCATATTTTTCACTTGCTAGCCTTTATTATTGTTTTTAGGCTATGACTTGTATGAGGTTATTTTGTGGCTATTAGGTGATATAAGTTTGGCCCTAGTGACTACAAATGAACTTACCTCAATCATTTTCGTCGTCTTTGGTACTGAGTGAGGACAACTATATAAGTGATGATTTATTTTAAGAAAATTGACATTATATAGCCGCTGTAAAAATAATAGCCGAAATATATATATATATATATATATACAAAAATTATATAAGTTTTATATATTTTTTCGGCTACTGGATGTAAATACTTTCTAACCCCTTTAATGTAATTATATAAGTAATGACTTAACTTTATCTAAATTGATAGATTTTTATGCATTAACTTTTCTAATTTGTTGTACTTTTTTGTATAAATTGTGTTCAAATCAGAAAATTATAGAAGCAAAGAAATGTTAATTCAATAAACAAAATAGAAAATAATTCTGAGTCCATAAGATGCTTGTATGTTCTTGAGAAATTTTATCCCCTCATTGTTGCCTAAGGTTTGGGATTAATTCCTACTAAGATAGAACGCAATAACTATTCTGTGATATTGGTACTACAAATCACATAGCTTCAACAAACTCAACAAACGGAGCAATCACACTTGACACTTATGTTTATTTAGAAAATAATGCTACAATGTAGAAAAGAGGGGAGGAATAATTCATATTTTTCATGTTTGAAAAATGATGCCAAGCCTCTAAATTTATAGACAAAGGAAGGAGGATATGGAGAGGTGCAATTCAAATGGTACCTCTTTCATTTCCCATTAACACCCTTTAAAGAAAAAAATAACAATCCCCCACATGAATGGGGAATTGCCATATGTGTAAAATCATGCATGAAAAAATTGTGTGATTCACAAATAAGGAGTAATCGCATCTAGATAAGTAGGATTCCCTTTGAAGTTTCCGTAGTGAGCTTATGTCGGATATATTCGGTCAATAGGTAGATTTGAAATATTTGAATCGTTGAGAATTTGGTGTATACCTAGACAACCATAAGTCACACAATCAATCCTTAATCGTCTCATTATTGTGTTCGTTTCAGCCATGAACATCGTCTCATTCCATAGTGCATAGAGAGCTGACCTTACAAAAAATTTCTTGAAGCGGCTTACACTTCACACTTACATACTTTATCCTTAGTATTGAACATTGTCTCATCACGAGAATGGACCAAAATTTTAGTTGACAATGTTTAACCGTCATTAATGACTTTGTTTGATCTCCTTGAACCTAGATCTTCGGATCTCCAATCTTCTAGGTAGAGTTACCGCCACAATGACTTGTCCTCGACCATAGTCCCATTCCCATCGATGATTTTCCAACTACCTTTCTAATCGGGCATTTTCTAAGTGAATCCGACACATTATCGCTTGACTTCACGTAGTCAATTATTATTATAATTCTCCTTGAGAGCAGTTGCCTAACGGTTTTATGCATTCATCGTATATGACGAGATTTTCCGTTACACATAATGCTCCTAGCCCTTTCCATTGCCGCTTGAATATTACAATGTATGCATATAGGTATCAGCAATTTGGGTCAAAATGAAATATCTTCAAGAAACTCCACAACCATTCTTCTTCTTCACCGGCATTGTCTAAGGCTATAAACTCAGCCTCCATTGTAGAGCGGGTAATGCACATCTATTTGGATGATTTCCAAGATACCGCTCCTTCACTGACTCTAAAAATATATCCACTTGTGAATTTAAAAACAGTCCAATCGGTGATCTAATTTGCATCACTATACCCCTTAATTACCGGGGATACTTATTGTAATACAAAGCATAATTTGAGTATATTTCAAATATCTCAAGACTCGTTTCATTGTCATGAAAGTTTAATGCAAACTTCCTTATGTCGTAGACTAATACGTCTCGACTTTTTATTGCACATCAGATTATTGAATACAATTAATGTAGCAATATTATATTATAACAACAACTAAAATGGTTGGCATCAGTTGTGGCCACAACCTTTTAATATATAACACATTTCACAATCACTCCGCTTTTTTTTTCTATAGCATTTTTATGCTATCTATTCTTATTCCAAAATGCAATACAAGTCTATATGATGTGTAAATTATAGCACCTTCATTCATGAAACAAATCCAAAGATATATATATATATCTTTGAGAATATTTATCCGTATAAAAAGGAATGTGAGTCGTCTAGTGAAAAATCTAAGCGACCTCGGCAATAAGCAAAAGAAGGTACGTTTAATAAGGAAAATACAAGACGTGGTAAACGTCAAAGGATAATTACTTTCTTTGGACGAGATTTTCTGACATTCTTGTTGGAAAATGAGCCTCAAACATTTAAAGAAACAACGTCTTGCTCGAAAGCACAATGTTAGAAAGAGGCCGTCAATAGCGAGACAGAATCCATATTAAGTAATCATAATTGGAATCTAAGTGGATTTTCAGAAGGAAAATGAAAGTTGGTATTATTGACAAATATAAGGCAATTCTGGTTTTGAACACAGTTTATTACCAACAATCTTGAGGAATTTAATCCCCCATTATTGTCCAAGATTTTGGATTAATTTTTTTAAGGATAGAACGAAATAATTATTATGTGATAGCATCACTACAAATCACATAATTTTAGGGAACTCAACAAATAAAGCAAATCACATTTGATATTTATATTTATTGAGAAAATAATGTAACAATATAAAAAAGAGAGCGAAAATTCAGATTTTTTATATATGAAAAATAAGATCAAATCTTTAAATTTATAGAGAAAGAAAAAATGAGATGGAGAAATACAATTCAAAAGGTGAATGTTTCATTTCCCTTTCGAAACTTCTATAGAAAAATCATACAGTACCTATTTTCAAGATATTAGTTTCACTTTTAATGAATAAGCTAATCTGTAAGTGACCGACAATGTGACACTATAGGTGCAGCTCAAAATTATGTTTTATATCACCTGTGCTTATCTCTTGTGAAAATAGAAAAAGAAAAAAAAAATCAATTGTACCTCTCTGTAACACCAATCAGCTTGTTCTAAACTTCGTCGTCGGTTACATTTTTTTCATTTCCGCGTGTTACAATGTTGAATTTTTTCACTATACGTGTTGGGTACAACCTACAAGAAGTACTGACCACAGCATCCTATACGTGGCGTTTACAACCAAACGTGTCATACTCCTACAACGACACCAATTCCTCATCTCTTGCAACTTCCCACTATAACATCAAACCCATTGCCGAATGAAAGTAGTAACCCTCTTCAACTTCTGCAAACTATAACACGGAAACTGCAGGAATTTATACAAAAGCTACTTATTTTTCTTCAACAACATAACAACAATGGCAGCCATGTCAATCACTAAAAACGCCATTTTTAACCTCTCTAAGGCTCTTCCTCGAACCCCTTCTCTCTTCCTTTGCCGCAACGTCTCCTTCTACAACCTCTCCAAGACTCTTCCTCGAAACCGTTCTCTTTTCATTCGCCACAAAGTATCTCGAGTCTGCTTTTCCTCTTCCCCGAATTACTCCGAGGTATTATATTTGACTATTGCTTTCTCTTTTCAGATGTCATTTATGTACAGTAATGGAGAGTGTAAAGTGTAAAGTGTAAAGTGCAAAGGAGTAAATCCAAACAAACAAATGCACATCTTATATTTAATATAAAACGTAAAATAAAACTAGATAGATTCACTTCATGTATTACACGGAATTATATTGTTTACATCGTCAATTTGTTTAATACGTTACAGAAGGTTGTCTCTTATATTTTCGGACTATTGATTTTACTTGCTATGCGTTATTATTTGTAGAAGTAGAAGTTACTTTTTTAGACGATGTGGAAGAAAACTTTCAACTTTTTAGTCTATAGTAGAAGTTATGATACTTGCCTTTCTTAGTATTTTTGCCAACGTGTTCCAAAGATAATACTAGCATTAAATTATGTTAGGACTCAACTATTTTCAATTTTATGTTGAAGGGATACCATGCATCGGAAGACTTTAAAAGAAGACAAGACTTTGACAGAGGTGTTAAAGAAGAGAAATCGCCTATGAGGGAGATGGCTGACAACACGAAGGACGATATGAAAGCGTCCATGGACGAAACTAAACGGACAGCCAAAGACATGAAGGACAAAGCAAGAGAAGGTGGAGAGAGCATAAAAGACAAGGCAAGTGACATGGCCGGAAAGGCAGCAGATAAGGCAAAACAAGGGAAAGACAAAGCAGCAGAAATGGCACACGACACTAAAGAGAGCGCGAAAGAGAGAGCACATAACATGAAGGAAAAGACCAAAGACACTGCAGAGTCCATGGCTGACAAGACGAAAGAATACGCGCATGATGCAAAGGAGACGACAAAGGACAGAGCAGGAGCTATGGCGGAGAAGACGAAAGAAGGGGCAATCAAAGTGGCGGAGACAGCGCAGGCAATAGCGGACAAAGCTAAGCAGGCAATGTCAGATGCTATGGGAGCGGCAAAGGAGACGACTCAGAAGATTAAAGAAACTGTGGTTGGTTCATCGGACGATGACAAGAAGTCTGTTGATGATTATATTGAAGATCATACGGGTAAGCCGAAGGAAGATACGAGTGAGAAAACCATGGATGAAGATGTGGTGGAACTGAGAAGGCGTGCAGGGGGAAGTGGTGACAAGAAACATTGAGGCATGCAGGAAATGGAAGTTATTTTGAATAATAATCTAGTGAAGGTTATCTCTAATATGTTCCAACTTATTTCCTTATGCATAGTGTATACACGTACGGAACTCTGTTTTTGAGCTTTGAGGGTACTTGCACTTGGTGTGAATTTCCTCTTCTCACCGCCTTCGAGAAGTTTGATGGAATTTAAAGTCTATTAGTATATCACCTATTCAGACGGTGGACTCTAGAACGTCCTTTTCGTGGTAAACGTTCAACTTAGTTTAATTACTACACTACACATTTGGCATTACCGCACTATTAAGGGTGTAGTGGATAATTTAATTTCCACACAACTAGAGATTTTGGATTCAATTATTTGTTACGGAATGTTTTGCCCGCAAATCGGATTAGTCGGGTTTGGCTAAACCAACAAAGAGGACGCAATGTATTTACTTAGTCGATCTTGCACAAAACACCGAGTAAATAATTAAGGCTAAGGTAGGGAGCATCCACTTGGTCTGTATGCCTTTCAATTCATCCTTTTCATACTCCTATTAATGGCGGGGTGAAAGAGAAATACCCCCAATTGATTAGGGAAAAAGGGGCATGATTTATTTCCGTAGTTATCGTGCCTTCGTTTGGTCGGGCAAACAAGGTCGCGAATTGATTTTGTTTACAACCTATCTCCTTCCCACGCTTCAGCAAGAGTAATTTCAGTCCTAAAGGAAAAATTGGCTTAAAACTGGACAATTGCGGACAGAAAATGGAGTATACATTTTGTCCTTAGCTTCCTCAGTATCAAGGCGGCTTTGACTTTAACAGAATACCTTGGTACAGCAAAAGTGAGATTTTGGGAGTTCCTTTTCGTTGTTCCTTTTGTTATATATAATTCACAACAGTTGGCGAAAAACTTTAACATGTACTACGAAGTTCACAAGAGTTGGCGGAAAACTTAACTGGTAGGAGAAAAGGAAAACCAGGCCGGTAGCACTAGTCACTAACTCCGGTTGGTCAACTGGGTACTTGATTATCACGTACTGCTTTTATTGATGTCTTAATAATTTTACTCAGTATATAAAGGTCATTCCAATATGGCGGTGTGCACTTCTATCTTCCAAAAAGAGTGTGAAGATAGTATTGGGCCTTAATTCGTCCCAACCAGTAAATGTCGAGTCCTCTTTCTGAATCAACTGTGTTTGATGATAAAAGCTATCTTTCCTTTATAAAATATTTTATGGGAATATTGTCTTTCACGGATGATATGTTTCCGGGAAATGTTTATCGCTATTTGGTCAGTAGGAGAAAACTAATTACGGAAAAAGTATGTATTCTAGAAAATTGGAAAATATTTTTATGAAATCTTTTGGGTATTAAGATTGATCATATAATATTTTTAGTGTAAGTTGAAGCAATTGACAAAAAATTAAAAAGTAAAAGATAGTCGCAAGAAAAATAATTTAATTTTCTATTATTTTTTCCTCTTTTCAGCAGGTAGCCGAACACGTTTCTAATGAATTTATGTCATCTTAACACAATCTCTTCATATTTAAACGCTGGCGCCAGTCTCTTATTGAATTAGCAACCTCTAGAAATAGTCCCTTATCTACGTCTAGGAATAGTAACTATAATTAACAATGACTTCATGAATCTATGCCTACCATAAGCCTCTATGATTTTTATTGAAGATACAGCATAGGTATAAGTAGGAGAGAGTAGGTTTTGTTATAAAATAAAAAATGTAAAGTAAATAAACCGAAGATAAGTATAGAGAAAGGTTGATATATTATTCAACTTCAAAATGATATATATAATGAACTGAAAATTTCTCTATTTATAGAAGAAAGGAAGTAGCTGCGAGGCTTTTCTTGAGCTGCTTGCAACCTGTCTGTTTAATATGAAGTTGCTGCAAATTTTTTCATTGAGTTGCTTGCAACCTGCCTGCATCAGCTGTTTGTAGATAAATTTTAATAGAGTACCAAAGAAGATTATCTATAGCGGAGTAATAAATGGACATCCAGATTATAATTATTTTTATAACACTCCCCCTTGGATGTTCAAGGTGCGTTGCTCTGATGGTAAGCACCCTCCACTTCCAACCAAGAGGTTGTGAGTTCGAGTCACCCCAAGAGCAAGGTGGGGAGTTCTTGGAGGGAAGGATGCCGAGGGTCTATTGGAAACAGCCTCTCTACCCTAGGGTAGGGGTAAGGTCTGCGTACACACTACCCTCCCCAGACCCCACTAGTGGGATTATACTGGGTTATTGTTGTTGTGTTGTTGTTGTTGTCCCCCTTGGATGTTCATTAAAAGATATTGTGCCTCGTTAAAACCTTACTAGGAAAAACCCAGTGGAAAAATCCTAGTGAAGGAAAAAGAGTACACATATTTAGTGATACGCAATTCTAGCTGCCTCATTAAAAACCTTACAAGAAAAATCCCATGAAAAAAACCTTAGTAAGGAAAAAAGAGTGTAGCGCGTATTTTACTCTCCCTGATGAAAACCTTGTTCCAAATATTTGAGTCTCTGCATTCCAATCTTGTATACCATCTTCTCAAAAGTTGAAGTTGGCAAAGATTTAGTGAACAAATCTGTTGAATTGTCATTTGAATGGATTTGTTGCACATTGATGTCACCATTTTTCTGAAGATCATGTGTATAGATTAATTTTGGTCAAATGTGCTTCGTTCTATCTCCTTTTATAAATTCTTCCTTTAATCGGGCTATGCATGTAGCATTGTCTTCATATAAAATTGTGGATCTTTATCACATTCCAAACCATTTTTTTCTTGAATAAAATGAATCATTGATCTCAACCATACGCATTCCCTACTTGCTTCATGAATAGTTATTATCTCAACGTGATTTGAAGAAGTAGCAACAATAGATTGCTTTGTGGAGCGTCATAATATGACAGTACTTACATATGTAAACACGTACCCGGTTTCAGATCTAGCTTTATGGGGATCGGATAAATAACCTGCATCTGCATAACCAACAAGATCTGTACTATCTTTGTTAGCATAAAACAAACTCATATCAAGAGTTCCTTTTAAATATTGTAATATATGCTTAATCCCATTCTAATGTCTCCGTGTAGGAGAAGAACTATATTTTGCTAGTAAATTAACAGAAAATGTTATGTCAGACCTTGTAGCATTAGTAAGATACATTAGTGCACCAATTACACTGAGATAGGGTACTTCGGGACCAAGGAGTTCCTCATCCTCTTCTGGAGGTCGGAACAAATCCTTATTCACTTCAAGTGATCGAACAACCATTTGTGTACTCAATGGGTGCGCTTTGTCCATGTAAAAGAGTTTTAAGACCCTTTTTGTGTAGGCAGATTGATGGATAAAGATCCTGCCTGCTAAATATTAAATTTGCATGCTAAGACAAAGTTTTTCCCTTTGGAGCTCTTCTGGAGTTCCTATGAGATTTATGTCATTAACATAAACAGTAAGTATAACAAACTCTGATGCAGTTTTCTTTGTAAAAACGCATGAACAAATGCCATCATTTATATAACCTTCATTCATCAATTCAGTAAGGCGATTATACCACATGCGCCCTGATTGTTTTAAATCATACAAAGATTTTTGTAATCTGATAGACTACATTTCTCGAGACTTTGAAATAAATGCTTCAAGCATTTTAAATCCTTGAGGGATCTTTATATAAATTTGACCAAATGAGCCATATAGGTTATGACTTGCATCTAAATGGCATGACATCTTCAGGTGTTTGGACTACATGTCTGATCCTCACAATCATTTATAAAATTGTGCACTATATTGTATCAAATATACCGACGACGATCATTTTGTATCGGTTCCTAAATGACATAACTTGTTGAGATCTCATCACTTTCCTTATTTTCAGGTACCTGAACTTCTTGAGTTTCATGAAATGTTACGTCGTGTGCTCTTCTAGAGCTCATTTCTTCCTTATTATGATCATTTGCTCCTATCCTTTTCAAGGATTGTTACCTTTGGAACCGATCGGTTTACTACGCTTCATGCGTGCAATAAACTTTATCCTTCAGGGACTTTAATTTTAATAGGAGCATTTACAGCTGAAATATGATATTTAATTTTAGATCAGCAAATGCTTCTGGTATTTGACTTGAATTATCTTCTGAATGAGGATCATATTAATGATAATTCGATTCGTATAGCATATTTTTCAGTTGTTTATTTTATCCCCCAAATGTTAGAAAAACTAACACATATCCCCAATCTTCTTTGGGAAACCTATCTTTGTGCATTGTGGTAGAGAAATTAATCATATACCACACATCAAAAGTTATTAGATAGTAAAAATATTTGATTTCTGATCCTAAACCAATTGTGAGGGGAGGACTTATCATATTTTGTTGGTCTGATGCATACACGTGTTGTTGTATATAATTTAGAAAATCTTAGACCAACACATGAGGCTTTGTTCTCATAAGCAATAGTTTAGCCATTAATAGGAGGTATCAATTCCAAACTAGCTTGGATATAACCAGCATCATCAAGATGAACTATCTTGATTTTATAATCTGAAAATTATGCTCTTAATTAAGAAAAGTTATTTCAAATGCCAAACTGCATGTTGACAATAAACACACATGTAACTATTTCATATATGCATCTATAAGTGGTTCACATGATAGGTGAATGGGCCCATATTAACCTTTTATATATTCCAAAATTCAGGGGTCTTAGTCCCAACTTTAGCTGGTATAATCAATTTATTATGAGAACAAGCAACACAAGTGAATTCTTGAAGAATTTTCTAGTTCTTCAGTATATGTTTATCTGAATTCTCAAATAGCTCATTTAAAAATGGCAAATGAAAACTTCAAGTTTATCATGATATGTGCTATCTCTTAGTAAGCTTCTAGTTTACTATGGCATAAACTGTTGCATTAGTAAACTTCTGATTTACTGTGGCTACTTTTGCCTTAGTAAAACTTATAATTTACTGTGACTCCTTTTGCATTAATAAACTTCTGATTTACTGTGATACATGATATAATACAAATTGAAGAATAAGGCGAGTCACTTCTCACATACATATTATTTTACCCCCTATGATTGTGAAAACATGAAGATTTTCAATCTTTTAATCATTTGTATTCTCAATATGATAGCCATTTGTATTAGTAAACTTCAGGTTTACTACAACATATGTTTTGACCATAATCATATAATATGGCGACTAATTGTATATAAGCTCTTCGAGAGCCTTCGTTTATTATCCACAATCTAATATTTATCGGACACTACTGGTGTCATGTGTCTTTTAGACAAATAGCTTGCTCTTCAGGAGTTGTTGATATATTTTGTACTATCAAATATTGCTCAGACACTTCTGGTATCATGAGAGAAAATTATAATTAAATAAACAATATAAAGATAATTCTAAATTTATAAATATCAGAAATCAAGAATTTCAATATTTTTACCACCAACTTTGTGACAAATATTGTTACACCCTGTACGTTCGAAGGTGATGTATAATGAATATGAGACTTGTTAATCATAATTTAAATAATTTTAAAGTCATAATATGACTATATTTGATGGTTGGACAAAACACATAAAGTTTGGGAAAAATCGGATTAAAGTTGCGGAAAAACCGACTAAGAATTTGCCCTACAATAAAGATTTTTGAGAAATAAATTTTGTATGCTATATGAGGTCTTTTAGGGACATATTATATACCAAATTGAAGGTCTTGAAATTTAGTTTCTAATGCTCTTAACCGTTCATTCATACGATATTCGGATAAAAAGATACAAGCATTGAAAAATGGGCGAATCAGAGGGTGCCAAGCTAGCACCTTTTGACTTTTCAAAAGTTTGATAAATATGTTTTAACTCGTCTCTCTCTTCATTTTACATAGAATCTGACCAGAGACACCATAAAAGAAAGGTCCTTGAGCTCTCTAATAGCTTCAAATAATTCTAACATCACGGGTACGAAATCGAAAAGCGATAACATCATAACGATCCCTACGACGTAAGTATCACTATATCACCTCTCTTTTTCTTTATAGTTTGAGTTTTGGAATGTATTTATTAGTTAATAAAAAAAATTTAATTTCTGTATTTAAGCTTTAAAATATCAAGAAAAGTTGATAGTTAGACCTCACGGAACGGTGATCGGAAGCCGTGAGTTCGAGTTATTTGAATTGTAGTGGACTGTTTTGTAGGCTGTTTTGTGTTTCTTTTGGGCTGTCTATTGTGCTGCTGATTTATGGAGTTTGGAAGGATAAAAATAGCGTGGAGAAACACCACATGTGGTAGGGTAATAGGTTGGTCGCTCGTCGTTGTAGTTGCAGGCTAATTGATAATTTGTTGATTGGGTGTATTATGGTATATTTGGGGGTTTTGTTGTATTGAAGGTCCCGAATTGTAATTAGGTTAGTTTTGAGTTGCTGATTGTATTATGTTTGTATCTCGCCTATAATAGGCTTGAGGGAGCAGTAAAATCTAAGAGAAATGCTGCCCGTTTTATTTTAGAATCGAATTATCGTTTGAGATACGTAATATACTACAGCCATCTAAATTGTACACGTATTTCTTTGCTATAGGGTTGGCGCTCTAGTTGTCATAATCTTGTTGTTGAGTTGCATTGACGACTTGAGGTATGTTAAGGCTATCCCTTTTTTTTTCTGGCATGATCCAAATGATACAAACGAAACGAGCAAAATACGCAACGTTCATAAATGACTATATTCATAGAAATACTAGAGGTGTCTATATTCTTGATTCCCCATGTGAATTATTATTATATCCTNTAGTATATATATATATGTATGTATATATGTCTTTTGGCCCTGTTTTCCTACGTACGTTGTTCATATGAATTAATAGTTTATTTCGAGACGTTATGCATGACCTACACTTATTTCATGTTTATATCTTAGACGAATGCTTATGGGTGTTCGATAGGTAGAACTCGGGCACTCGTCACGGCCTATCGGTTTGGGTCGTGACAATTATCTCCTTCATGGAGAAACGCCATTAATATCTAAATATTTATATCAAAGTGGGAACCACATAGTCATTACATCCTCCAGGGAAATATAAATGAATTATTATTTTCTTCGGGGTAGTTAATAACAACTAACCATAATATATCAATGTGGTTGTAGTAGAAAGCATTCTACAAGAATGCTTTTGCCTTAGAATGATACTTAATAAATTTATCCAAGATGTTTTGCGTTCAACAGGTATGTGTGAAAATGATCTTTATGCTACAAAAATAATATTTATATCCTCTATTATTCTACCTCTTCAGGAGGTGAGTTGTGGTATTTCTTCATTCACTCCAAGGAATGAAAATGTGCTTCAAAAATAACTTTGAGTAGCTCATTATTTTATTTAAGTACAGAAAGACACTACTTCAAAATATTTTCCTACTTCAGGAGAAAATTTCAATTGTGTTACTTCTTCAGGAGCAAATTTAAAATATGAAATATTGAGTATATATTCTCTCAATCATATTAACTCTTCTGGAGGTGAATTGAAATATATTTACATCAAGAGCGCGTTCATATTTACGGCTTTATTAATATTATCACATTCACTTCAGGGAATGGATTAATATTTATCAAAAATTCTCATCCTTCAGGAAATCGAACATAATTATTTGAACGCGCATTAATCACATCAAATTGTGACGCTTCAACCTCTTTTAAAATATTTACTGCTTCAGGAGCAAATTGAGGCGTGCATGTAATATAGAGAATATTTCTCTAGCTTATCTTTAATTGTAACCATAGAAAGCCTAAATTATCACTTTTGGTTGTCATAGGCATATACCACTTCTCGTGGTTAACAAAATTTAGTTACAATAAGATATACGAAACATAACCACTTCTGGTGGTTGTATATTTCTTGCAAACTCTGCTGGAGTTTAAGCTGATCTAACAATGTTATCCACTTTATAATAATAATAAGGATGAAAACAGATACCAAAATAGGTATTGTATACGTAGCATATAATCAAGCAAGCGATGATAAAGATATTAAACCAAATATAAGCAAAATGCTCAAATTACTTTACTCAAATTTGGCCACTCCAGACGTAAGTGATATCCACATCACTACTGCCATGAAGAAAAGCTCACCACCTCAAGGATATAATCTGTCTTATGATGCTCGGAATGAACAAAATCTAACCACGGACATAAGAGCGTCGCCTTACATCGGAGATGAACACTGAAATAGAAATTAAATTCAAAGTAAGTGCTCAAAATGACAAAGTCTCGTGGTGATAACGTGTTATAAAATAAAAAAATATAAAGTAAATAAACCGAAGATAAGTATAGAGAAAGGTTGATATATTATTCAACTTCATAATAATATATATAATGAACTGAAAACTTCTCTATTTATAGAAGAAAGGAAGCAGCTGCGAGGCTTTTCAGGAAGCAACTGCAAACTTTTCTTGAGCTGCTTGCAACCTGCCTGTTTAATATGAAGCTGCTGCAAATCTTTTAATTGAGTTGTTTGCAATCTGTATGTATCAGCTGCTTGTAGATAAACTTCAATAGAGTACCAAACGGATAATCGAGTAATAAATGGATATCCAGATTATAATTATTTTCATGACAGATTTCAATATTTTAGCATTTGTCTCAATAAATATGAAAAACCCATCTAAATATAGAGGTATGGGTGCGTGGTCACTGGTCAGGGAGCAGTTGTAATTTCCATTGCACATCCATAGGTCCTCCAAGAATATAACACGTCACGTGACATATCACGTGCCTCACCTAAGCAGCAAATTGCCCAGGGGCTGGGCTGCCTTCTTTCATTTCGAGACTGTTATTTTTGGTAGAAATTCAACAATAGGTTACAGGTGTTAATTGAAAAATAGCCAAAATTTTAAAAGTAATTAAAATTTCGTCATTTTTTATATAAAGATAAATTTGAACGAAAATATTATTTAAAATCCAAAAAATATTATATTTGAACTCCAGCATATTATGCTGGAGTTCCAGTATAATATATCGGTCCAGCATAATATGCTAGAAGTTCATACGCATGTGTTCCAATCTCCAGTATATTATGCTGGAACTTTTCGCGTATGGAAGTTCATATATAGATGCACTGATCTCCAGTATATTATGCTGGACCGGTCCATATTACAGCAAAATAGTAACTATTTTTCAATAACTTTACAAACGCTAACTATTTTTCAATTATCAGTTCGAAAACTGTTCGAACTGATTAGTCTATTATTTTTACCTGTTTTGTGGCACAGTTGGCCCAATTCGGCACCGTATGTTAGTTAAAACAACGTCGCTATTGTGTTATGTTTTGGCTGGGTCAAATCGAATGCATCACCTTACAGTTACCGTATAGATTTAAATTGTATACACTGATGGTATATAAATATTAAAACGATCAAATAATTGATATAGATAATACTGTAGATTATCTAATAGATTCAATGTAGCCTCTATCTTTATTTCATTCACGGGCAGTTTTATAATTAATAAAATGATAAAATCTGCTATGACAAATTAATCTACACTAATTGTGTTAAAATCCTTTAAATTATCAGGCAGGAATATCACTTAAATATATTACATTTATACTAGTAAGATCATAAATTGTTGCATGGAACATTTATAAGATTATCAGAACAGTCGACTAAAAATATATACTTATAGGCGTTTGGACATAAAAATTATAATTTTTATAAAAAAATAAAATTTGGAGTAAAGTTAAAAAATAATATTTAAAATTTAAAATTATGTTTAGACACGCAATTCACTAAAAATTTAATTTTTATAAACAAACGGGCCTTAGTACTTAGAAAGAAACTCTTTACAGATGAGCAAAACTTTTCAGTTTTCCGTAAGATAATATATCTAAAAATAATTTATGTGCCATTCTACACTTTTTTTGTGTGTCAAGTCAATTGAGTTGCCAATTTCGGTGTCCCATGGACGTGGGTATACCAGTCTTTTTCATTAAGCATGAAGATGTCAGAGTTATTATGTTTGAGAGAGGATGAAAAGAAAAACTAAAAGTAGAGAGAGAGAATAAAAAATGAGTAATAAGCTGATTAGTCTGATACATCTAACGCAACCCATTTGACAACCGCAACCCTCCACCTCCTGCCGGCAGCTCTCCGCCGCCGCCGCCTTCTCATCAACCCCTTGCTCCTTCAATATTCCCTAGTGGTCCACAAAAAATACAACACCTATGATCTCCTATTACTAGCTAGACCCCTACTACTTTCAAAGTGTTATGACTTGTCCATTAATTCTTGCTCTCTCTTGAGTTTACTTTTGATGATAACAGTTCAGTACGTAGAAGCCTATTGAGAAGCAATTTTTTGTCTTTATTGCCAATTTCTTGTCTGCTCAGAGTTTGTTGAACTGAAAATTATGGCTTCTTTTTCTTTATTTGTTGAGACGAGATTAAACAGAGAAACAGAACATTAAAACTTACCTCCTTGGTCCCATCTCAGTATTCTTCTTACTTTAACTGAACATTAATATGTAGACACTCACGCGACTCTCTTCCGCCCCACCCCCCCAAACAAACCCCAAATTCTTATTTCTAACTTCTCTAAGCTAAAGTAAAGACCTATAAAGCTTATTTGCCAGACTTTGTCTTCGTGCAACGTCCGTACACAAAAGTCCATGTCTAATTCTATATTTTATTTTCATTCTAGTCTTCTCTCAACTTTTTCTCTCGGTTAATCTCAAGAGAACCAGAAGAAGCCAGGTGGTGGTTATTTAATTCTTTGCCTCATTTATAAGTGGTGTTATCTACCAAGATTATGTTTAGTTTTGTGGGATTTGTATTGAGATATTTCATCTCTTAAATTTAAGTTCCTTATAGATGAGATGATCCCAAATGAAGCATAATCTTCTTGTTGACTAGAAGTTTGAGATTTAATTTCAAACATATCTCTGGGGTGGAAACAGTTAAGAGTTTTTGACTTGCATGCAGTTATTAAATCTCCCAACCCAAAAAATCTAATTTTTTAATCTGTAGTGAGATTAGGATTGAAGAAGTTATTTCAGAAGAGCAGTATAAAACCCTTAGAAAGTTTCTTTTTCATCACTACGGAAAAAGTTGGTGATGGAGCAAGGAAGATCTGGAGGAGAGAATGATCGGAATCAGCAACGAAAAATGAAGATGCCGGAAAACCTCTCAGCGGTGGCACAACCACCGCAGCCACCGCCGCAGAAATGCCCTCGTTGTGATTCAAACAACACTAAGTTTTGCTACTACAACAACTACAGTTTGACTCAGCCACGGTATTTCTGCAAGACCTGTAGGAGGTATTGGACTCAAGGTGGAACCCTAAGGAATGTCCCCGTCGGCGGTGGTCGCCGGAAAGGCAAATGCACGACGAGAGGCGGCGGCGGTTCATCTTCTTTATCAGCCGGTGAAAGTTCATCAAGATCTTCTCAAGGCGCTCAGCCTCCACCAGTAGTACCCTTAAATATGACAACCAATTTGTCAGCAGCAGCTGCTTTTTTCTCAGGTAACAGTATTTCAAGATCTCAGCCTCTGAATTCGTTGTATTCTAGCGGTGGATTTCTGTCTTCGTTAGCTGCCATGCAATCACAAGGTGTCAATCAATCCAGTAATAGCCAATTTGGTGGTACTGGTAATACAGTACTGTTGCAAGGTTTCCATAATCTTCCTAAGGAACCACAACAAAGTGGGTTTTACCAAATGGTCAATAAAGAAAAGTCCAATGAATCATCCTTTTACCTATCTGATCAAACCCTGCAATTTCAACATACAAGGCCTCTGGGTTCTTGGACACAGAGGTTCATCAACAACAACAACAACATGGATTCTTGGAACAGCTCCGCCGGTAGCAGCAGCGGCAGTGGAGGAGCTACCAATAGCACCACAGCTGGTTCATCTCTCAGCCCTAATCAGTGGCCTGATATGCCGGGGTTTGGCCCATCTCCATGAGATTTTAGGGTTTCTTTGGCTTTTGGTTTTTTACATACTGAATTGTTAGTGTTTCCATCATTTTTCTTGATTGAATATTGGGTTTTCGGGGGTATCTGAGCTTTGATCACTCTTCATCCCAAGGAAGTGAATGGATCGGAAGAAGTTTTTTAATGGTATGGTATTTAATTTTCTACGTTTTTATTTCTTGTAAAACGCAGAAAATATAATGTATGTGGAGACATGAACAAAAAAAGGGTTGGCTAGGCGCTAGCTAGCTAAAATTGTTGTATGATATTTACCTTCTTATAGAGAATTTGTGGATTGGGTTAGGTTTGTATTTTTTGAAACTTCTGATCAAATGTTAAATGTGTTTTGTATGTTAGCTCTTCTTTTTTGTTGCTTTAATTCAGCTTTATTAATGTGCTACACTATCAGTTAGTTAAAAAAGCAAAAAGAAACTTGCTTGTTCCTTTTGCTTATTTATTATTTAGAGTTATAGAGTGTGAAAAAGTCTATAAAAGATAACTACCATATGTAAAGAGAGAATTTTATGCATGGAGAGATTGAGTGGTGAGCTCATCTCTTTGCAAAAAGTGATAGACAAGATGTTTCCTTTCTTCTTCTTCTTTTTGTGTGGATGAGCCCTCCTAATTCTAAACGTTCAATTTTTTTTATTCTTTTACCCAAATCTCTATATCGAGACATGTGTTGCTTGTTCTCTCTAGACATCAAATGGACTTTTGGGAAGTGGACATCACTTAATTAGTTGAGATATTCATATTACATTAATTTGTGGTTTCAATGTGGCAATTGGCAAGTTTTAATTCCTAAGATCTTTAGCTGCGGCTATATATATTCTGCATGAATTTGGCATACCCTAGTTGAATATATAGTTAGGAGTAATTAGTATAGTTAACGAGTAGTAGTGGTTTGACTGAATATTTAATTTGTACTCTTTTCATAATGGCATGATGAATTGAAAGCAACACGCACACATTCCCTTTTGAAATAATCAAATGGATTTGGTAGATATGGGGGGAAGAGACTGGGCATACCTGAACCAAAAATTAAAGTTGGACACGTCTGATATGCACCTTGGTTTAAATATTTTATGTTGTCCGAAGTATAAATTAAGTTTAATTAATAAAGTTTGTTTCCTGGAACATGAATAAACAAACATAAAGTAAAGTACTCTTTTTTCTTTGTGGAGGGGTTGCGGTTTTCGAGCAAAGCATATCTTTGGTCTGCCATGGGTTTAGATCTTCCTCAGAGAATATTGGCAGGTTGGAAATGAAATCTCTTGGGTCTTAGACATCCCTATGGGATGATCAATATGTCTGTTGGGAGAATAACCCTCATTTTCTTAATTCTTTTAGTTTTACGATAGCTCTCTGACTGACCAGTGACCACTATGGTTTCCTCGTTCGAGGATGATTACACTTGGTCATTAGTTAATTTACTACTTCCTCTATTCTAAGCCTCGTCTGGCCATTAATTTTGCAAGTTTTTTTCATATTCTTTTTTGTCAAAACTTGTTTGTTTATAGATTTTATTCATATTTTGATAGATTTGAAAAACAAAATTTTTAAATTTCAAAACTAACTCTACATCTGTTTTTAGCCCAAAATATTGCTTTTAGATTTTTAACAATTTCAAAAATTACCCTAAATATTTATATTTTTTTTAAAAAAGCACATCATCTATTATAACCCAATTAACCCACAAACTAGTTGCTATTATTTTTTTTTGGACTGATGGATCTTGTAATATTATTGTAATTTGACAAATTGTATAGTAGCTAGTGATTATGTTATTAGTTGTTAATATTGAAATATCAGGTTATGGTTTTGAACAGGGTATTATGCAGTTCATTATAAAAATGATAATTTTGTACCAAACCTATCTATATTCCGGACTATGATTTGTGATAATTATAATGAATGGCATCGATGAAGGTTCTGCATATACAGGATTATCAAGTTTGTTTGTTTAGTATTGTTGGATATTTTTGATAGTTTATACAACTTTTCAAAAAAAAGTGAAACATCTTTTGAACAATGATGTCCAAACGGATTTATCATCTTCAAAATAAACTTCACCCAAATTAGATTTTTTAAAACAAATTAAATTTAGGAATCAATTAATGTGAAGGGGTACGGAGTGTGAAGATCACAATTAAATTACTCCATATATTTTATGTGAATTTGGCTATAGATGATTTTTTGTATATTTTTAAAATAAAATTATATAGGTGCAGAACCATATGAAAAGTAGGAGTCAACATAGCCTATGATTCAAAAAATTTAAGAAATATTTTAGAAAATCATAATTCAAGAAAAACTTATTAACTCCTCAATTAGTTATACTTTAACAGGAAATGGGAAGGATGGAATATTTCTAATGTTATAAATTAGAGGTGATTTTTTAGAAATACTCTACTATTCCCAGTTGCTATAAAGTACATAGGATGGTATTACAGTATTGCACTATCTGTTCAATTTGGTTTAACAAAAGAGTTCATATTATTGATATTTGTAGGAATACAAATTTGAAGAATATGATATCTCCAAATAAAGTCGATGGGATGTGTTAGAATTGAAAGGCTATTCTTGTTTAGGTTTATAAAGGAACAATTAGTTCTGAATTGTTTCTGGAAACAAAATGTTCGATGTGGCATATTAATGTTGAAAAGTCAACAACAGTGATGGCTACGAGTTCTAATATAATTATAAATAAGATGTTTAAAAAGTTTTAAAATGTTACTTTTCTGTCCCATTTTATCTAATACGGAGTATTAAATTAGACACAAAATTAAAGATTTTTTATTTATATGTATGTATATAGTCGTAGAACAAAATAAAAATAATATCTTTAAAGTCAGTTTAGAATATCACATCATGTCTTGAATTAAATTTGAATTTTAAATATTTGTTAAGGCTGTATAAAATAAATTTATTAGTAGATTTATGTCAAATATTTTGTAAAGTTAAAGTGAAAAGTATATTTGACAAGTTGGAGCAAATTTGAGTATTTTCTTAATTGATATTCAACGAACTTTTTGAAATATTTGTTATATGACATGAAAGTTATTATATATGTGACCTCCTTTCGATAGATTATGAGCTAAATGACAGTTTGATACATAGACGTTTTGACACACACTGAATGTATTTACGCTTGTAAATGAAGTTTGTTTACCGAAAAAATCGGATAACGTTAGTTTTGTGTATGGTTCTAAGGATATGCGATACAATTCGATATAAATCGCGTGGAGAAATAGAAATATGTGTATTGTTGACTATGAGAATGGAAATAATAAGCAAAAAAAATGAATAAGTAAAACAAGCACAAGGGGATAACTATCAATATAAGAAGTGATCTTTTATTGCCGTGCCTTTAGCTTACAAGGATCTTCTTTTATAGAAGATGGTCATTAAAAAAAATAATAAAATAAAACATATAGTGGAAGGCTCATGATGACTTGTCTCTTCCTTGATTCCCGCCAAGATTCTCTCTCTTGGTGCGGTTGCAACGGCTCTTGTCTGTGAGCTCAATACTGGCTCGAACTCGTTACTGGGCAGTGCCTTGCAGATCGATTCGGTCACGGGCTAGATAGGATTATCGAGCCGACTCCTAGAGCGACCTTCGGGCTCGAGGCTCGTTAGTACCGACCTTAGAGCTCACTCCCAAAATCTCATTCCGACTTTTAAACACTCGAACTCGATCGAACGTAGGAAGGCCGAAATCTATTTCGACCGTATACAGATAGTCCCCTCGTTTCTCGGAAAAGGATGTGGCGAGAAACGATATGATTTCCTAGTAGCTCGATCAGATATACACTAATATTTTTATCGATCCCGACCATGATGTATGTAATGCTCGATTATCTTATGCGTATTTACAGTTCCCGACTTTATCGAGAATCCGAATTTTTTCTTCCCCTATGGGGATTGCCAGTTACCTTCGGTCCTTTGGTGACCGGAGAAGATCAATCAGTGAAGAATGCGGTGGGGCCCGCCTGTCTTTTCAACGAGGCCCAACATGCTTTGAATCGGGTAACTCCGATGCCGTTTTCGCCGCTTCTTTTACACAAAGTTGTAGGTAATTCTAATGTTTCTCCTTTTGTTTGCGGGCTTCGGTATTTCATCACGAGGCTTTTCTCCGAATCAGGGAGGAGCCTGATGCCGAGGTTCGGAGCCTCACTGAGAAGAGTGACTCGAAAAAATTTCAAGCAGATTTGACAGCGGCTCGGGAAGAGCATGAGGAGACGGCTGAGTAGGTATTCCGAATGTTCCATGATGGTGAAGATGAAAAAAAGATAACCACTAACGATCCGATCCTGCAGGTTCGGCAAAGGATCGAGCAGATTGGACGGCTTAACTCACAGGTAGATGCGCTGCTGGCCGAGGCAGAAGAATTTAAAAGGTGTATGGATAACCTTGCCTCGAAAAAAAGGAAGTCGTCGAAGCTCAGTTGGAGTTGTCCGATGCACAACTTCAATTTGCGAAAGAAAATGCTTTGGGGCTGATCGAAAAGATGAAAAAGCTTCAGCATCGGTTAGATTTGGCCACTTTAGATAAAGCAAATTTGGCCAAAGAACTCGAAGTGGCTAGATCTGAAGTGGTCGAGGCCAATAAAAGAGTCGATACCAAAGTGGCTCAGTTCAGGATCGATGTCGAAGTTAATCAAGCCAAAGCAACGGGCATGGTTGAACATGCAAAGTGGCAGGCTCAGAGAGAGGCTCTCGAGGGGGTCAAAGCTCAGGGCTTCGATATTGGGGCCGAGATTGAAGTCGCCAGGGCGGAGGAGAACAGAGCTCGAAGGTTGGCCTTTCCTGAGGAGGACTCCGATGGCTCGGGGGAGTCTGAAGACGAGGAAGATGCCGAGAATACGACCTCCGATGAAGATTGAGTCATTTAGGGCCTTAGGTCGATCGCTACGTTCTTGTGATACCGCTTTCGATTTTTGTATAAAGAACTTCCTTTTGGAAAAGTAGCCGCCTCTGTACAAAAAATTTGTAAATAAAAATCTTTCTTCTTTTTGAAGAGAAATGGCCTTTCAAACTAAATAGATAGTTTGAATTTAAATCTCAGTTGCCTTCGGGCCTCGTGGGTAGTCCCCTTTGCTTTATCGGGCTTCGAGCGTCCTTCAGCTTAAGTAGTCAAGTGTTTGTTTTAATTCGAAGAAATGAGCAGTTTTGCTCGAAATAATGTAGCCCGTAGGTGTAATTAGGGGTGGGCATATTTCGGTCTGAACCGAAAAAACCGACCGAACCGAAAATATTTTTATTTCGGTTTTGGTTATTTGGTTTTTTCGGTTGGTTTCGGTTTAAAATTTTAAAATTTTATTTTTTCG